TATTTATTAATTTATCCTTTATCTATTTGTAACAAATGTCATCTTATAAATTATATTCAATTTTAAGTCTTTTAATTAACACTTTGCGTCATTAGCATTACCCAAAGAAGAACTAGACTAACAGGAAAATTGGGTAAACACTTACTTTTAGCCATTTACCTTACTAGATTTGTAGGTTTTAGTCTCTCACTTTATATATGATACTTTTAGCCCATCACCTATTAGAATTAAAGAAAATAACTCTTTTTTTATAATATTTCGTTAGTTTTGTTAATTGATTGTTAATTCTGTTAGTTGAAAGTAGATCTTTACAAATTAACAGTCTGTTTATAAAAGTAACAGTTAATTAACAGTTAACTAATAGAATTATTTTGTTAATTGACTGTTAACTCTATTAGTTAAAAGTAGGTTTTTTCGATTAACAGTCAACTAATAGAGTTAACAATTAGCTAACAGAACTAACAAAATGTTATAAGCGAGGGCTATTTTCTTTAATTTTAATAAGTGAAGAGGTAAAAGTGTTATAGTATAAGATAATTAGTTAAAACCTGCATATCTAGTAAGGTAAAGGATTAAAAGTAGGTTTTTATTAGAAAATTGATATGAAGACATATTACATGTCAAAATTTTTTTTTTTTTTTTAATTATCTACCTTGCTTGGACCCCCAGAAATCCAAACGGATTTAGTTCTTATCGAAATATATCTAGTATACACTACTTAAAATGGATAAAATAAAATAACATTGTCTTACAAGTTCAAGTAGCTAGAATTGCGCGAGTCTTTGTTTTACGTGATAAGATTCCGGGTATAACATTTTTTTTTGTTAAACCTCTATTTTGGTTTCTCGATTATTGTACAAACCCCCGATTTAGTTCTTTAACTTAAAAAATCTTTGATTTGGTCCCTATTATTTATCATTTTAACCCTGACTTGATCATTCCATTAAATTTTTGCTAAGGTAGCCTATTAACTGACAAGATGAAAATGACATGTCCAAATATTCGATACATAAAATTGACAACAAGGATAAATAAATGACGTGGCTAAAAACTTTAGCCATCTAATCAAACAAATATAATTATTCAATCCATCAAATTTACAAATTTACTCTCATCTTCTTCGTCAGCATACTCCTTCTCAAATCTTCTTCATTCATTCTAAATCAAACAATCAATTCAATGAGATGGATTAATTCTTTATTATCGTCAAACAAAATTGCCTCATCCAAGGCTTGCTAGGTTGAAAGAATCCGATGGAGCTACTAGGTGTTCTCAACCCAACAAAGCTGCGGGGTTCAAAGTTGTTGGGTTCGAAAGAACGTAGTAGATCTGCTAGGTTCTCAAACCTAGCGAATATCTAGTGAATTCACTAGGTTTGATATCCAGCAAATCTATGAGGTCGATCGAAGCCAAAGAATCTATTGGATATGGAAGAACCCAGCAAGGGTAGAGGAAAGAGAAAGGGTTGAGATAAATAGATTGGTTGAGATGTTAGGGTTTGCAGAAGTTGAAGAAAGGGAAGAGGAAAGATAGGAACAACCAAAAAAAAAAAAAAAAAGAGGCTGAAAAAAGGGAATTTCCTTTGGGTGGGATGAGTTGGAAATGCCATGACATTTAATTTTGCCAACCTGTCAATTTTTAGGTAAAAATTTTAAACATGCAGTGCTTCTTCCATCAATTAACATGAAAAAATTAACAGAAGGATCAAATCAGAGCCAAAATAGTAAACAGTAGGGACTAAATTAAGGTCCGTACAATAATTAAGAGACCAAAATTGGGGTTTAACCTTTTTTTTTTCTTCTTTCAACAACGTTCTCCCTTTTAAATGCATATCAGAAGAAGCTTAAAGGAACTCACTTTTATTCATCAAACCCAAAGGGATCAAACAATATTGTTTGTACCTTGTACAGAACAAATTGTACCCCACAATCCAGGAGTTATTCAAACACACAGCAAAACATAATTAATTAAATAACCACGTATATCAGAGGGTTACTTAACCCACATTTTGGTTCCAAACTAACAAAAAAAAAAAAAAATAGTCCTAATTCTTTAATGTTAAATGAATCACTAATTAATTTTGAACACCATTTGGAGTTGTAGCCCGTCCATGGGGTGACCCAAGATCGCGAAGCTGCTTCTCTTCTGACAGCATTTTTGCGAACCTGCAACATCAAAAAAAAAAAAAAAATTATAACTATAAGTACCAAAACAGAAAACTATATTGCATAATAAATTTTTTTTAAAAAAAAATATTCAAATTCAAAAGGGGACCAAATACAATCTTCTATTACTTACCTCTTCAGTGCCTCTTCGTTGGATCCTTTGTCAAATGGCTCAAACAAACCCGTTTCAAAATTAACCCGAGAAACTGGCTTCTTCA